AGGGAGCCATGCACAGCTCCACTAAGTCCACCGACTAGGGGTGGGCATTCGATTAAATTTTCTTAATCGATCGTCGGGAGAATTAACGATACATTCATTATTTAACTTTTTATATATTAAAAATGCAATGAAAATACAAAATACAGGGTGTTTTTCCTCAATGAAATCTTAATTACAAGAACAACTCTTGTGGCAGTTAAACTGACGTTCAATGGTTAAACTAGAAGATGTGCGCTGCGGTGCTCTAAAGCAGAGCAGCCTGAAGCTGCGAGCCGGCGCTCTTAAATACAATTGAACCTCGTTTGTTCCAAAATAATAATAATAAAAAAAATCATGTTAAACAATAACTTAACCAGAAACATAATAATACTTAGGTCTGACAGGTTTTGTCAAAATGTAACTCAAAAACTATCCAAAAGGCACAGAGTCTAAAAAGAGGGTGAGAGAGAGATAGCCTACCTAACAATTAATTAGGCTACTTAACAAAGCCTCATAAAAATCACTATTGGCCTAACTCACATACAACTTCAGCACCAGTCTACTGATTTCTGTTGATAAAGACAAACATGTTAACGTGCTCTGGGGTCAGACGTGACCGCAGCCTGGTGACCGTCAGTCCAGCTGCCGAAAACACCCGCTCTGAGAGGACTGACGTTGCCGGGGTGCACAGGTACCTCCGCGCATTATTCGAGCATTTCATCGATAAAAAAATATGTGATCGACGAAATTCTTAACCATCAATTATCAATTCGTCGATTAATCATGCCCATCTCTACCACCGACAGTGATCATTTGGGTCTTTTCGAGCATGTTTGGATGGTGAAAAGTAGTTTTTAGTGGCTCTGTCACTCCTCTGTGCCTCGATCATTCACACTATGCACTGGGCCAAACAAATCAAGCCAAACCGAGTGCACCGCCATCTCCTCCAGCTTTACATACGTTGATTAAGTTTACAGATCCTGTTGTCTGATCACATTATTTGTGTGTATGTGTCAGCGCGAGAGACAAGATGATTTTTCTGAAGAAAGATTTAACTCATTAAGAAAAGTACTGATCATTACGTGATGATCAGTATTGATATTGTGGCGTCATTTTAAACAAACCAACATTTAGACCGTTGTGTGTCAGTTGAGTCAGAGAGAGAGAGAGAGAGATCATGGGTAATGTAGTCAGACTCACAGCATGGTTCTTCCAGCACTCTCTGAGCGTCGGTCTCTGCTTATTGTGGACGACAACATCCTGTATGTCCTCCAGAGTTGGATGTTGCCCCACCTCCTCCTCAAATGGCAGCATGTACTCATCCACTGGACCTGGACCAGAGAAAGGGGGACCGTCAGCGTTCAGAACACAAGGAGAACCGGGGCCTTTACTACAAAGCAAGTTCAACATACCCAGGATATCTTTTACTTAACCAGCTGAAGTTAATCCTGCTCAGTCTCCATGGTAACTTATACTTCAGAGCTAGCCTGCTCTGTACCAGTATAATGGTCCGGAGCAGTTTAGCCGTTTAGCAGAAGTTACCATGGTGATTTACCGCGATAAAAAGGGAATTGAACCTGAAGTTACCCTGATAACAATACATAGTACAGGCCCCTGGATCTGAAAGGTTCTCCAGCAGCCTGTATGTGAGTGTTGAGTGTGTGTTTACCGTCAGCAGCCTTGCAGCGAGAGGCGAGCTCCCACAGCACCAGACCGACAGCGTACATGTCGATCCTGAGGAAGGTGTCTCTCTGGAAGTTGATCGCCCCCTCCAGGACCTCAGGGGCCATGTACCTCCTTGTCCCCACCTTACACACACAAAGAAAAGTGATTAAATTCTCCTGCAGGGGGCCAAGAGACCTCTGACTGAAAAGTGCTTTATAAATAAAGGTGCTATTTAAATAAAGTTTATTATTCTTATAACTTTATTTGTATAGCACTTATCTAAACATGTTACAAAGTGCTTCACAAAAAAAATCCAAAAGAAGAATGAATTATAATAACAGTCATTGTCTCCTGGTCAGACGAGACTCTCTGAGTTTGATTGGCAATCTTCTAACTTTTGTTCAAGGACAAACAACAGCTGATTAGTGGGGGGCATTCTCTCAGGTGAACTCACCTGTCCGTGGGTGTTTCCTGGAGACTTTCCTGCCTCAAACCTGAGAGCAAGGCCGAAGTCAGCGATGCAGGCACTCAGGTCGGACTTCAGCAGAACGTTCTTACTCTTAAAGTCCCTGAAAAAACACATAGTGAAACATCCCGTCTGACACAACTCTCTCTACACTCGAGTGTACCTGTGTATACCAGTGTGTACCTGTGTGTCGTATATAATGTGTGTACCTGAGTGTCGTATATAAATGTGTGTACCTG